TAGGCGACATCTTTTTTCTCTGCAGCTTCCTGACACTCCTCATCGTACCAGTTGTTCTTTCAGGCTCGCTGAAATCCGACTAGTTCTTCGGCGGCGGTACTTAATGAGCGGGAAATGTGGTTCCACTGCTCGCATATGTCGGTTTGTTGAAGAGTGCTCTCTGTGAGCAGGTGTGAGAGTCGAGTAGCGAAAGCGCTGGCTGTCTGTTGTGATTGCAGCTTTTCGACGTTAAGCTTTCCTTGCATATTTGGGCGCACATTTTTTGCTGCACAGAGGCGGGTGCGTATCTTGGCTGCAACAAGATAGTGGTCCGAGTCGATGTTTGGGCCTCGGAGTGTGCGTACGTCTAAAACACTGGAAGCGTGCCTTCCGTCTATCACAACATGATCAATTTTCGATCCGGAGACAGCCACGTAGCTTGATGGATCTTTTTATGCTTGAACCTAGTACTGCATACTACCATGTTTCGGGCCCCGGCGAAGTCGATCAGCCTCAATCCGTTGTAGGACGTTTCGTCGTGAAGGCTGAATTTTCCGACGGTGGTTCCAAAGATCCCTTCTTTGCCCACCCTGGCATTGAAGTCGCCAAGCACGATTTTGATATCATGACGGGGGCAGCGCTCGTATGTGCGCTCCAAGCGCTCATAGAAGAGATCCTTGGATGCCTCATCCTTCTCTTCCGTCGGGGCATGGGCGCAGATGAGCGAGATGTTGAAGAATCTCGCTTTGACGCGGATTGTGGCTAGACGCTCGTCCACCGGGGTGAACGACAGTACTCGGCGACGGAGTCTCTCTCCCACCACAAATCCAACTCCGAATTTGCGCTCCTTTACATGGCAGCTGTAGTAGACGTCGCAAGGCCCCAGACATTGTTTGCCTTGCCCCGTCCAACGCATTTCTTGGATGGCGGTGATGTCAGCTTTTGTCCTTACGAGGACATCAACCAGCCGGGCAGAGGCACCTTCCCCATTAAGTGTCCGGACATTCCAGGTGCATGCCCTCAAATCGTAGTACTTTAAACGTTTGCCGTGGTCGCCATCATAAGGGGGGGTCTCATCCGAGGCTTTGCCTTGCTTCTTCACTGGAAGTGGTTTTTACGTGGCGGGTCCCAAGCCCAGCGCACAACCCATTGCTTGGACGGGGGTGGTTTCGCAACCAAATACACGTTTATATAGCGAGCCGCTTGCTCCAAGCAGACACCCGCTTGCAGCCGCACCTACTGGTGAACAGACGCTGCAGACTTCAGTGAGCCCTTAAACCGAATAAGTC